CCGTTAGCTGACCCGCTGGCCCGATTGCTCACCATCTCTCATGCGCCTGATGCTGCGGTGGTGGTGGTGAAGTGATGGTGAAGGTCATCGTGCAGTGTCTGGGATACTTGACTATTTCAATGACTATGACTATTCATTAACGAATTTTTTCACATAAATCACCAGAACATAAATCTTCAGAAATATTATAATCCCATCATCCAGAATCAAGTTAATATTTTCCTAACAAATGAATGAAAGATGAAGGGAGGCCTCTTCTAACGCACATTTGGAATAAAACTCTCAATTAAATTTTTTTACTAAATAATTCATCTTCTGGAATCAAATTTACAAATACCAAATCAAAAACCATATTTGAATTTTTTTTTATTTCGATTTTCATCCAAGCCCGAATTTCAAGACCTGACTTTTCTCCCACCATGAATACATTTTCTGATCACGGTAATATATCCCGACACGATGAGTATCCTGGATACGCGCCCTAACAGCCATATTATATATTTGAAGTATCAGGGTTTCACAATTAATATTACGGAAAAATGTTACAATGTTACAATTTTTCAAATTATATATTTATGGAAACAGAAACTTTTAACTCCATAAATTTAGAAATAAGCCTATATATTTATAGAAGATTCGTAAATAATTAGTATTACCACTGGATCATAATTATGATGATGATTGAATCATTTAATGATGATGGGTTGATAAATTGAAATAATTATCTCGAATAATTAATAATTGTAATGAATAATGATGGTTGTTGTCGTTTATGCTGATGATTTAGTTACCGAATTATGATTGGTTGATAGTGAATTAGAATAATAATTAAGAATTAATTAATAATTGTAATGAATACTAATGGTTGTTGTCGTGCAGTGCTGAACGTCGCGGCTTTCTCTACACTTGCCTTTACTGTGCAGACTTCGTCTCTACACTTGCTTTTACTGTCCAGTCTTTTTCTCTACACATGCTTTTACTGTGCAGACTTATTCTCTACACTTGCCTTTACTGTGCAGACTTCTCTACACTTGCTTTTGCAGTGCAGAATTCTTCTTTATACTTACTTGTACTGTTCTGGTTTCGGTTTTACACTGGCTTTCTTCTGCAGACTTCATGTCTACACTTGTAATTTTTTGACTGACTTCTCAGCCGTTCACGCTTTTCTCGTCCTGACTTCTCCGCCCTTGCATTTTCTGACTTCCTTTTTGACCTGGTATCCTTCCCGTGCGTTATCGAAGAACGGTAACGCACGTTCTTCGCAATTTTTTATTTTAACTCTTTCTCCGCAATGACTACTGTGAGTAAAAATTACGAAATATCTTGTCGTTCTCTATTAGAGTTGTCAGCTACATTTATTCATTAAACTCAATTCTGCTTCTTAAGACTCGTTTAAATTAATTAAACATTAGCCATTCGCAACAAATGTGCATTCGATTCACCATTTTACTCTTGCTTCTTCCTATTTCTTCTATTTTTCAGCGTTAGTCACTGTGTAGGAACAGTCTGATTTCTTCTGACAATATTTGTTCATAACTTCAAGACACGAATAATACAGAGTATACTTAATGGTTGAAGACTACTTCTTGTGTCTTCCCATATAGTCTTCGAATGTTTTCACCGATATTTCGTATTCCAACGCAATTATTATTCTTTTCGTAATTCCCTTATTTATTTCCTGCGATCGATCATATAACAAATCTCATGTTCATTGCGGATGTTATTATGAAATGAAGCATTTTGACAAGAAAATATATAGGTATATATTATAAAAAATTTTTAGGTGAAAAAAAAACTTTATTATAAGGGTTGGCCTAGTTACGCAAGCTTGATCTCCTCTTTCACGCTCTGCGCAGTTATTCAGTGACGGTAAATGGATGCACTCGATCTTATTTAACCAAGCAGCCATTGACCGCAGGCTCTTTTGCTAATTTTTTCATCTCATTCACAAATGCTTTTGTTCTATGCCGACCTACTTCAACTGATGGTGCTGTGCTGGAAGCTGATCCAGCCTCTGCGCACGTAAATCTTTTGTAATTAATTAATTTTAGTTGAATATATCCGTTTGTACAAAGAAATAATTCATATGGTCATCTGTCAGTGAAACTATTATCTTGGAGTTTAATTACTTTAATTACGACTGAAACAACGAAAGAGGCAGAACATATGAAATTCTTCATGGCAATGCACTAAATTTCACTCGAAATATAGTTACTTATTATTAAATATATTGGAAAGTAAAATATAAAACGAGTTTCGGGAATCGCCGGAAGAGGAAATATGTTCGGATCCGCCCTTCCTTGAAGGGCCTTCGCAAGCGTGGAAATTTAAGGGCGTTTATCTGTCCTAAGGTGTTATAATCTGTCCTAAAATATGAACTTTTAAGATAATATCTCGAAAAGGGCGTTGTCTCCCTAACCCGACAATCAGATTTGCAGTTCATCTTATTCCAAACGGATACACTGCAACGAGTGTTGAAGTCCAGTTTTTTGACATTATATTCACTATTTTACTGCATTTCAAATCTAATCTGACAATTTTTGTTTTGATACTTAATTTTCTTCATTATACACAAAAAATCTTTTGCGTTTCCAGTTAAACCGATTTTATTTTTATTCTAGCAGCTTCTCTCAATTATTACATACCAGATTTTTTCTACTTCAAGACAGCGGCATGGTTAGGTTATGTACGAATTTAATAGCACGCTTTGTAGTTTTTTAATTGACCACTCAATAATGTGTGCATAATATTTTCAGCTGATAACAAATATATCTAAATATTTGACAACATAATATTGTCTCAATTTATCTATATAGTTTCTAAAATAACATAATCAGCAATCTATCTATTTTATTCATAATCCCACATCATCAATAATCGTTTAATAATTTATAATTTCTTCATTATTTTCTAAACATATTTTTGTCAATTATTTTATTCGTAACATAACATGATCTCCAATCTACCCATATTATGTATAACCCAACATGATCATAAATCTATCTGTACTATTTACTCCTAATTAAAACACAACTCTACTCTGCCAGGCCTGGGCTGCGGGTTCCCTGGTGCTCCGGCGCACTCGACGGTCACGTTCAGCGATGACGTCGTGAGGGAAGGCACCGTCGCAACTTATGTTTGTGACCGCGGCTTTGAACTGCTTGGACCTGCTAGGAAAATATGCATCAATAATGGCACCTGGTCACCTCCCGGCATACCTTTTTGTGGTGAGTGCTGTGGGGGGGGGTATTTCTGGGTGGTGAAGTTGTGAGAGTCATTAGGGCAAACTATTGGGTGGTGAGTGTCCCGCGGTGTAGGCTATCGGGTGGTGAAGGGGTGCGGGTCATTGGGGATAATCTTGGGTGGTGAAAGCTCAGGGGGCATACTCGTGGTTGGTAAATTTTCTGGGGTAGGCTATTGGGTGGTGAGATGGTGTGAGCCCGGGGGGCATACTTGGTGGTGAATCCTCTGAACAAATATACTCTTAGGTGGTGAGATCCCTGAGACATACGTTTGGCTGGTGAGTTCCCTGAAAAGGCTTTTACGTGGTGAGTGCTCTGGTACATGTTTTTAGGTGGTGAGTACCCAGAAACATGTCCTTAGGTGGTTAGTGCTTTGAAAGTTGCTTTTCGATGATGAGTGCTCTGGGCACCGCAATAATGATTTACATTAATTATATTGCATCTGAAGTTCACCTCGAGAGGTAATGGACAGCAGGAGCGGCGTGTCTCGAAGGTGCTGTGTAATTTTAAGATAATGGCTTAAATCGAATCAATTAGTTATTAAATTAAGGATTAAAATTATTAAATTAATCATTGTAGATAAATGCATTTATCGGCTTTGTGGAGAAAAGCCAAAGATTCTTGCCGGTCATTGACGTAAATTGTCACTAATTTTCAACTCCCGCCTATATACAAGTAATTTCTTCACAGTTCAATTATTTATGTTCGTAATATCTCAATTGTTCATATTAACAAAATTTAGGGTTAGCTTTACCAACTTATACCAAGTTTGCGCTTGGTATAAATTTTAGCAATATTCAAATTCAGCGAAGATAGAGCTGCTCAAATAATTCTTTAAATCAAGTTCCATGCTTGAAATTTAGCTACTTTCTCTATATTCCCAGCAACATTTAGTGCCCGTTGGAGCCTGGATGGTTTGAAAGTTCCTCATTCCGAGTAATACATAAAAACAATTAATTTCGCCTTTCCCGTGTATTCAAATTTGTTGAGCCGCTACTTCTAGAAAGTTAATTTTTATGTAGAGCCTGTAGAGCCGCTACTTCTAGAAAGTTAATTTTTATGTAGAACCTGTAGAGCCGCTACTTCTAGAAAGTTAATTTTTATGGAGAATCTGTAGAGCCGCTACTTCTAGAAAGTTAATTTTTATGTAGAAATAATTGTATAATTAAATTATACAATCATACTACGTTATTGTGACTCATGCACATAACATCCGTCTACATAATGCGTGACGCACGAACATATTACGTCTCGTACACTGCACCTCCTTTAGTTCCCATTGTGTAGGACGATTTTGTTGCACTATAACTGTCAGGTTTTCAAGCTGGAGAGAGCCACGACCGCTTATGCAAGGAGTGTCCCGAATCTGTATCCTGTTATGCTTGTTTTTAATTGAGGATATATTCGTGCAGCAATGAGGTAAACGTACTAGCATCCTTAATATCGGCGTGTTAGGTAAACTAGTGCCACCGGAGCCCGCTTTCTTTCAAGTCATTCTCCTGTTCTCATGCAGAATGCAGGGTTCTCAATCAGTATAATTAGACTTATTCTTATGACATGCATAATTTCGTGCAGTTGAGGGTATCAAATGTATATAGTATCAAATGAATTTATAAGGGTCTCAGATGTATCAGATATTCAGATGACGTATCAGATGTACAAACATACCATTCGTATCAGATATCAGATGTATACCTTTCAATTGATTTGAATTCCGCAATAGAATACATTGAAACTTAAAAGTCTTTTATGTTTTTGGTAACAGTTCGCTGCTTCTGAACTAACTTTTCTCTCCGCTTCTGTCAAAAAATGGATCATGGGCGATTATTTCGAATTGTATTTCTTTTGATTTTCCTAAATTCCATTATTAACTTGTTTTGCGTTGATAGAATTTGTGAACATAAATGTTTTAGACTTTCGGCATTAATTTGCATGCCGTGGCAAATGCCATATTTATTGCTTCATAGAGACTTTTGTCGCCAGAATTTCTATCGCTTCCAATATTTCGAAATTCGTTCCTATATAGTATGAAGTCACCACTTGAGTATTTCGATCGCCACCATTCTGCTGCTTTTCAGTTCAATTGCAATTTAGACACGTAAAAAGCAAAACATTTTAAAAAGTGACTCTTTCTCCTGAATTAAGTAACTATAGCACGTCACAGACTACATATATTGCAACACACGCTCATGTCGTCACCACTTCACGCACAAGTGTTCCTTCATTTACAATTAACTCGCGACTATCTGTGAATGAATCACGAAAAAGGGTACTCATTCGTAAAGAATTGTTACGCAAGTTATTCATTTGTGAATTTTTATACTTCGGAGTCAATTTGGACAATACCACGTCCTTGAAAGTTTACATTTATCTGAAAATGTATAGCAATAACGAGAATGCATCGACTTTGAATGTATTGGCTCGTAATGAATTGAAAATTTATTTAACTCGATGTTTGCGGTCAAGTAATAGAAAAATATTTGCTCATAATATGAATAAAAATTACTACTTTAGGTAGTTTAAAACTTGTATGCTGTTACAGATTAATTTATCAGAAGATAAACCATGTCTACGTAAGCAAGATAATATCGTGAAATAAAAGTGTTGCAAACTTCTTCCCAAAAGCAAGATGTAATGTGATCATGAAATTTCATATTTAAACCTCATTTTCGAATGGCTTGGTTATCATTTTCAGATGCAAAAGCCTAATTTTCGCCATCGGCTTCTGCGTCAAGAATGAGAACAATTGATTGCTATATGATCATCCACGATGTTTTTATACCGTTGATTGGCCACGGAGAGAACGCGTTTTGGTTCTTCTTTGCAGCCCCCGAGTCTCATCTTCATGATGCTTGAGTGGTCACCGACAATCTAAACTTTTGCCTTCACTTCTTGCCTTTTGTTGAGAAAAGATGCAATCAATTTATTGCATGGCTTACCGCTAGAAACATGACTGGTTTTTAGGTGCATTATGTTTTCGACAGCAGGACGAGCAGCGAAGAAAATCTATGGCACAGAGTCAGGAGCCTGTCATAACTATTTCATCGATCGGATCAGACCCCGTATTCCAGTGTAGAAATAACGCGAAGTTCGCGCAGAGATCACAGTGTAATTTTAAATAAAATCAATTTGTTTTCACAATTATTCGTAACGTTCTGGTAACTGCATGATGTGAACGATGAAATGGCTAAAATTAGACACAAAATTCAAATTCCACACAACCTTTTTCGTCCTGTAGCTGAGAATATACGAATAAAATTTTTAAACCCTAGTATATCAGTTTTCCTCACAGTGAGGGATCCTAAATCAGTTTTTTAAAATACTTCTCTATCGGTGTCAGGATTGTGAAATTATGAAAGTTTCGAGAAGTTGTTTGAATTTGCAACTTAACTAATACATTTCTTTATTGTTTTACATTTGGCACGAGTTCTTCCTCAGCATGAGGCGGAGAGAATGTCTCTGGCGTTCGCTATACGCAGAGGAATGCCCCGAGGTAATCGCTAGACCGGTTGCCCGCTCTTAAGGAGTGGGCCTTCAGTCCCGTTACGCGCCTCTTGTTACGCATTGCAAACGCGTAGGCAGTTGCTGGGGGGACATTTTCTGTGCGATTCTCGGCCGATCATAGCGCGATGATTTACTTTTATTGTCGAATTGCTCATCGCAATGCTGGTGGTTGCGTTCGATCACTCGATTCATGTTGCAGGTATAATGATTGATGTTCAATATTATATCAATTCAAAATTTCTATCAATTAAAATATATCAATTCAAAATTCACAGTAAAGCGTTCTCGAATGTTCACATAAGGAAATTTTTCGAAATTTGTCGAGTTAAGATTCCTGGAAGGTTGCGTGTTAGGCTGAGATGTGTTTGATTACACGCCTCGCATGCGGCTGTTCTGCCTATCATCTCTTGGCTTCAAAAAAAGAAAACGCAAAACAAGCCGCGGAGTTTCGGGGCAACAACCGATCCTAGTGGTATTTCGTCCTCTCATGTTTGTTGCGTATATTCCTTGGATTGCAGATATTATTGTCGGCTGTTACTTCTAAGCTAATCTGAATTAGCACACATTTGTGATTTTTTTTCTTTTTTGTAGGCGTGGGCAGCGTGTAAGCGGTTAATTTCTAAATTTTAATAATTGTTACTCTTTACTTCAATTTTTAAAATGTAATAGTTTCAGTCTTCAATGACACATTTTTGTATTCAATTTCAAAATTTCTCAGTTTTATTCGTAATATTTTGAATAAAACTCAGTTCGGAATATTTTAATAGTAGTCTCCAGTAAAATAGTAAAAGTAGTAATAGTAGTAATAGTAGTCTCCAGTAAAATAGTAATAGTAGTCTCCAGTAAAAGCCATTTTCCTCGCAAGCTCTTCCTTCCATTGCCGCCGCTCCGCATTTTCCGCCGGCTCTGGGGCGATCTCCGGTAACGACGCTGCAGAATCTCGACCCGTTAATCCTCGAAGATGATTGCCGCTATCCTGGACTCTGCCATCAAATTATCGCGTGCGAAGCTACTGTTTTATGTCTACCAGATTTATTACTGCTAGATCACGACGGTCGACTTGAAATCGGAATTTCTACTACCAACAGACGTGCTGTGAAGAACATTATGGGTAATTTGTTCATATATTTATTTTGCACTCTCTTGCTGCTAATTTGTTGTGCTTCGCCCCCTTTGCATTCAGTCGGACTTCAGATGCGAATATTTTCTGCATTTTAGGGAACCAATTTAATTTCAATTAAATCGTTTAGCAAAATGTAAAATATTCGGCTTGCAACAAACGTAATCCGCTCTATTTCGTTACTTAAACATTCTATACAGCAGCAGTACCGTTTAAAGACAGTTTTCCCTCGTATTAAAAACTTATTTATTTATTTTTTTGTATGCTACTGAAGATGACATGACCGTTTTAACTGCCAGTTCTGGAATGGCAAAGTTCAGCCATCCGTGATGCCTCCATAGGCCGTATCTCGCACGTGCCG